TATGAAATGAATTTTATTGAGTTCAATTACCTATTTATTCAGATTCGAAAACAATAAAATCATTCTTGTCCTGAAGTTATTGATGGAACAAAGAATCATAAGTAGAAAATTAAGAGATATTTGACTAGGAACATAAAATAATGAATCAGTTAGAGTAAGTGTTCAAAATGTCCTATACTTTTCGAAGAAATCACGATTCTATATTCTTTTCTTGAGAATGTATTTTTCTTCTTAACAGTTGAGGATCAGCTGTTAGGTCATTCAAGTGATGTTCAATTATGGCTTACAACTCTTGACGTGATTTTACCTATGTAGCATAGACTTTCTGCTCAAGATACAACAAAACTGTGTAATCCATGTCAAATCTGTTTCGATGTTTTCTTGTGATTCACTGTTAAATCATTTAGTTTAGCATCAGAAATGTATTGTTGTTTTCGATTTTCGATATACTCACTCTAATACATATAGCTTTATACCAGCAACAGTCATCACTTCATCATTTTCAAATAGAAATATTCCGAAAACGAAACACAGTATCGAATTTTACCAAGAGTACCTTTTTGGTGTTCAAGTCCACATCAAATTTGGATTGAAAAATCTAACCTCAAAAAAGTTATGTTCAAAACTACTCGATACGAACCGTGTAACTAGCGCCCTCTATGAGAGTCAGGTATAAAAACAAATGCATGCGATGTGTCAGATTCCAAGAAACATCCATACAAAATTTCATCACAAAGTTGCCAGTAGTTTCGACATAATCTTGAAAAATGTGTAAAAAAATCATTGTTTCAACACATTGTTTCTTGATAACGGATGCCGTTACGAAATTTTTTCACTGAGTAAACCCAACTTATTTTGCAGTGTTCTACCTACCCTAGTAAGGGGGTCAGGTTTTTTTGAAACACCCTATATCTCCGGAAATACTCAGAATTTGAAATATTTCTTGACGAGATATTTCAGTCACATAAATGCGCAACTTTGCCCCAATTTAACTATCTACAGACGTATCTCCTATACAGGGTATGTCACGACGAGCTTACACTATCTCATCTATATCGAGATTCGAGAATCAGTCGGGAGGAAAACATGAAAATATGCATGTTTATATTTTAGAATACGCTCTCTTCATTTAAAATAATCTCACTAATTCAGTGTTGCCGCTTCTACCAAAATGTAGCAACAACTTTGTCTTTTCAAATAAAATATCCTGTATTCCATTGCATTTTTAGATTATCCCTGAAGAGCTGATTTCATCGATACATCAAACTTGATGTCTATTGGAAATGATTACACAGAGATGTAGGTTGTTCAAAATCGAGATTTTTCAACTGTTGGATTTGATTGTGTCGAAACTATTCATTATCGGCCGAAACGGCTTACATATGTCCCTATCTCAACTTTTGATTTACTATTTGCTGATATTTTACCAAAACGGTAGATACAGGGTGATCAGAATTCTGAATCTTGAACCACCCTGTATCTGTTCCTTGAAGCAGTAATCTTGCTGAAGTCGATGATATCTACTATGAATCCACGGTAACCTCAGGAGATGTTTTGAATGGTAATTCCATTTGCCCAAAAATTATTCTACACATGGCAAAATTGGAATTTTTGTGAGTTGTAAATGTTCCTTTCTTCATATTAGCTTAAAAAGGGCTTCCCTAGGGCTGCAACAATAAGCATGTTGTGGTCATATAAAATATCTTCTGGTCTTCGTATGGAATGTATGATGGATCTGAGGCACAAGCTGAGTCCAGAGCTGTGTCAGAAGGCCGATTAGCACATTGCTCTTGTTCAGTTTTTGTGCTGAGATTGTCCATTGCCATTGCAAATATATCAGCTTCCTTCTAATTCATCGATAGGTGAGATGGTTGGGTGAATAGGAACAACTAACAATGGTGATATATTCTCTATATCTTCTGATAATAAGTGATATATCTATTGTTTTTTTTAAGTTCTGGTTCCCACGAAAAGGGATATACTGTAATGTTCAGAGAACATCGTGAAAACCAAGGGAAATAAGGTAGGAATTGTTATTCATCTTGAATTTCTGGAGGTTATGTGCCTCGGGGAACACCTCCCTTGGCAATGTGTTCCAGAGCCTCGCTGTTCGTTAGATGAACGAGTCTTTGGAAAGAGATGTTCAGCAGGTCTCCAAAGTGACAACGAAGGGGTGCGAAGACTCAACTCGACGGGTTAATGTCGCGGGGACTGCCAAGGGAGGTACAATTGTTGATATTTCTGGAGAGCATCGTTCATGAAAATATCTATAAAAAAGAGCCAGATCGCCAACTTTTCTACGGTGTTCCAGAAAAGTGAGTGAGTTTGTGAGTGAGGCATCACCCACGAGACGAATTGCCGTTTTTTTGACAGAATCCAAAAGTTTCAGGGTATGTTTGGGTGCCGCACTCCAAATATAGGAACAGTATTCCAGGAGAGGTCGGATCTGTGTCACAAGTTTGATGAAAGGCTTCTTTTTAGCTATCATACTATCCGTAACACAGTATTATTTCAATCACATACACGATGTAATGATGATTCAACAATGATATTTGATATTTGATATTTCCTGTGATAACTTCGAGAATTAACACAATAAACACGACGAATACATAGCAGGAATAAAATGTATGCCAAACACACAAAATATGTAAACAAAGTGCCCTAATAATGCCGCCATCTTGTTTTTGATACAACGGTCGATCACCTTGCCTATTGTTGACTGACTGAATGTCAGAATCGATGATGGTCGATAACAATTTCAATTTATTGTATTGCATTTTCAGTTTTTGGAGTTGACTCGCCCTTAGGACTATTTCCGGCCGGGCTAGACAGTTGCAGGAACCCTTTATTTGACATGTCAGACCCTAGGACGACGCCTGACCCTCAGATGTTCGTCAAAAAGAAAAGTAAGTTTCGGAATGATATCAAGATTAACCATTCATTTTTAATGTTCCACCTCACCACTAAGGTTGACGCCAGCTCATCAACACACAACTTACAAAATCCCATTTCCAGAATACCCAACTTATCAACGGACCCATTTCACTAACACCCAACTCATCAACGACTCAACTCATATACGAACCAACTCATCAACAACTCAACTCTTCAATGTGCTAACTCATCAACACACGATTTCACCAACATCCACCTCGTCAAAGATCTAACACATGAACGACCCAACTCATTGACGCATCTATTTCACCAACAGCTTACTGACCAACAACTCAACTGATCAACTACCCACCTTATCGATGCACCAATTTCATCAATGTTCAACTCATCAACGAACAAACTCATCAACAATCCATTTGATCAACGCATCCATTGTCTTAATGCCCAACTCATCAATGACCAAAATCTTCAACTTATCCATTTCATCAACACCCGACTTATCGATGATCCAACTGGTCAACGACCCAACTCATCAACAACCTAACTCATCAACGATCTAAGTCATCAACGTACTTATTTCATCTACACCCAACTCATCAATGACAATATTCATCAACGTATCCATTTCATCAACACCCGACTCGTCAACGATTCAACTGGGACCCAACTCATCCACAACCTAATTCATGAACGATCTAACTCATCAACGTACATATTTCATATACACCCAACATATCAACGTTCCAACCTATGAACGACTCATTTCAAATGATGAGTCATTTCATCAAAAACCCTACTCATCATCGATCATACTCATCAACTAGGTACCCAACTCATCAACGACCCAACTCCTCAACAGCTGAAATCATTAAAGATCCAAATCATCAAAGTGCTAACTCATCAAAGTTTCAAGTTCATCAACGATTTGAATCATCAACGACACAAATCATAAATGACCAAACTCATCAACGACCCAACACATCAACGATCCAACTCATCAACGATCCAACTCATCAACAATCCAATTCATCAACGGTCCAATAACTCTTCAACGACCCAACTCATCATTCTGAATAATTTTGGAAGCCTTCTAAAACCCAACATATCTGTTATAAAGATGACGATGATGATGATGATGATGATGATGATGATGATGATGATGATGATAACTACTGATCCTGTGTATTTGATGTCGTCTCGTATAGTTTTGCAATATACTTGAAGGATGTCATTTGAAAGTCCCAGATAATACATTTCTTCAAGAGTCCGAGAACAATGCCCGCAGGACATGGTGGTGCTTTTGGGGTTGCTCAATAAAATCTCTTTGTTTCAGCTGAGTTAATTCTAAATCAATTCTGCTACCTTGGGCCGTTTCATTGGAGTATGATGAGTTGTGATTTGACACGTTGATGAATTCGGCTGTTGATGATTTGGGTAGATGGAGAGTTGGGTGTTGATGAATTGGTGATTGAGATATTTACTACGTTGACGTGTTGGGTAGTTGATGCTTTAGGGTATTAATGAGTTGGGTATTCACTGAACGGATAGGTTGATGACTAGGACTGTTGATGAGTTGGGTCGTTGCTAAGTTGGGTGTTGATCTAGTTTGCGTGTTGATGATTTGGGTCGTTGATAAATTGGGTCGTTGATGAATATTGACCGTTGATAAAATGAGAATTAGTGAGTTGTCTGTTGATGAGCTGGGTTGACCCGCATCATCATACATACATTTATACAACACGCGAGTTGATGAACAATGCCTATTACCATTATTCATGATGAGTTTTGTATTTACTCTTGTTAGTTGATGGATATGCATGGTGAATGCAAAATACTTCACCAAGTAGGATTAGATTTCCCCAAACTTTCAACATATCGTTAGATAATCCCTTCAAGTATATGAAATTCAATTTCATTCATCGTTATTGTCATATAACAAGATAAAAATGTTGCACTTTCAACGAGTAAAACATATTTTTCACCCATCCAACGTTAAAATCGTTGAATCAACGTACAAGTGCCTGCTGGGAATGAACCAACCCTGACTATAACATACAAAAACAATCCCATTAGTTCTTTGTCGCCCCCTAGTATACAATGAAATGGCGCTCCTGGCTCAACATCGATATTTTCTAGTGGGCAGACCCAAAGGGCAGCACTCCGCCCCTAGAGGCGGCCCGCCCCGTTCCTGGACCAACGCCGAACTAACAGAAGCCCTGCAGCACGTCTGGAACAAAAAGATGACCACCAGCCAAGCGTCCAGGATCTTCGGCATCCCCTACAACTCCCTGTTGATGTACGTGCGCGGCAAGTACGGCAAGAGCCTCAAGCTCGAGCAGCTGCGCAAAGACTGCATCGGCGTGGGCGGGGCCACTACCCCCACCATGGACCTGTTGGGCGTGGCCAACAACAACAACAAATCGGAGCGCGACCAGGAGCAATCGCTGCCCAACACGAGGCCGCCCAGCGCGGAGGGGCAGCCCTCCGTGTTCAACCCCTTCTCTCACAGCTTCTACCCTGATTTTGGGGCTGGGTTCCCGCTGCCTGTCAGCATGATCCATCTGTTGCCGCAGAACGAGAAGCATCTGGAGCAGTTCGGGCAGCAACAGGTGATGGAAGATGAATGCAAGGGCTCTAAGGATTTGGATCATATGGATCATGATCATGAGATGTTTAGAGCGGGGATGGGGATTGAGGATAAGAGGGAGATGGTGCAGCAGAGCGGACAGAATTGAGGTGAGGAAGGAGTTGGGTGGTTTGGTCGGTAACAAACTGGGGGTCGGCCTGGTTGAATGATGGTCCAATGGTATAAGTAAAAGATTGTGCTTTAATGTGAAGTCATTTTATCCTGAGTTATGAGTGTGGTTTCAGGTATACAGATAGATATAGAGCATGTGATTGGCAACATAGCTAGAGAACCTGATTCGGTCATCGTACGTCTGGCCAATAGCACAGTGAAACTTTTCTAATATGTAACGATCCGATAAAAAATCCGTTTATTGGTAAGCTGAATAAGTTCTCAGAATTCTCTGTAGTAGGAGACGGCCAGACATCTAGCAGCAATTTGAACGTAGAAAATATTGCTCCAAAATTCAATTTTCTCGATTCCTTTTCATCTTGCAATCAAACTACATCAATTCAGATGGAAAAATACAATGGTATTTCTAGACAAGACAGTTAATTTGACATTTTCCATCAATTTTCTCCATGACGAATCCCTGCAAAAAACTATGTTTGTGAAAAAATTTCAGTTTGTTACTGAAACGTGAAAAGACAATCCTGATCCTGATGCATAAGGGAAAATTTGTTATAGAGGCTGCATTAGGTTGGTCACTATATAGTGTGTCCCACTTCTGATAGATACACCCTTATTGTATCTTTCCTAATTCTACAAAACTGAAATTTGCATGATCGAGAGAGCTAACCAAGAGTCACTGAATATTCAAATAGGATTATCGTCAGTTATAAACACTGCTTGGTTGTAGTCATGACATTATCGATATTTCCGCAAAATGATATTAGAAGGCAAGATAGGTTGAATTTAATCCCATTTGGCATTTCGTCATTGAGAGTATCTTCGGTATCTCTCTCGTTCCTGCGCATTACAAAATTGCAGTTTCATCACTAAAGGATATACGTATGAGTATCCATCAGAAGTGTGACATACATACTTTACATAGTGAATTCCCAACAGAGTTTGGCATCTATACTGTTTTTTTTTCATAATACATTATAGCATTTCAAAAATTATATTAGTGAGTGATTCTGTCTTCACATTTCAGCGTAGCGCTACTACCGAGTACCGCCATATGGTGGTGGAAATATGAACTAGTGATGCCGTGCCAGCCTAGGTTCACTACTTTTCAGTTTGAAAAAATAATCATGGAAACGATAACTCTAAGAAGCCAATGAACATTTTTGGAAAGACTCATCGTATCTGTGGATTTGAATTGATGTATTCTGGTTGTAAAATCAAGAGGAATCGAAAAGAATCACAAAAAATGTCGAAACAAGGCTCAAGTTGCTGATAAATGTCTGACGTATCCTCTTACCTCTGGAAATGTTGAGACGTTGACACCAATATAATTATGTATATCTGAATCCACAATAATACCTTAGAGTTGAACTATTCGCGTATCAAAATCCTATTTTTTGTGGAGTTTTGGAGTTTGATGTAGTAAGCTCGTGTTGAGCTATTCCAGCAGTCAGTTGATACGTTAGCAGTTCTAATATATTATACCTCTGTGTGATTTGGTAATACATGAAGTGTCGGTCACATCGTGAAGTGTCTAATTGATCTCAGCATTTTTTACTCCTTTCACTATCACAAATTCAAATGTCAACAAAAAAAAGAGAAATACACATCAGAATTTTTTAGCGGTAGTTCATTTTGCTTCTGGTACATTGAACGAATTGATATACAAGAAGTGGCCGAATTGGAATCTTTCAAGGATCAATTTTTTTCTGGAACTAATTAGACAGAGACTTATTTCGAAAATTTTTCGCGGAACCTAATGATCTGGAAATGTTTTCATGAAAACAGAAATGTTTCACAATATTTTTCGAAAATTAACATTCACGAAATATCTACTAAAGTATATCCAATATCAATTGCAGAATATCTCACACTGTGCGGCGTCGGCATGTTTGAAGTTTCCTTTGAAGTCAATGCAGGTGCGGCAAGAGAATCTGAATCAATTGATTTTGGATAAACTATACTTGTAACAATGATAGATTACGATATGCATTTTTATCGTTGAGTTTGACATAGAAATTGACTAAGATGCTTCAACAATCAATGTTTTTCATCTAGTTTTTGAATAGGATTTATCCTTTAAAATTTTCAAATTTGACTTATTCTGTTCAGAGACTTTTCATAGCTTCTACACAGCTCGGAATTCAAAATAAATGATAATTTCTTATGCAATGAAGTTGACATCTAGTAAAATATATTTATCTACGTGTGAAAATCGAAAAATTGTTTATGCTTCATGAGCATTTATCTCCTAATTGGGATATCGCAGTAGCGAGATACAATGTTTTTTGATCAGAAGACAGTTTTTATTTTGATGCTGAATATCAATCAGTGAAAAGTCTCCGGAACAAATATTTCGTCTTGAAAATATGGCGGGAAAACTTTAAAACAGAACACTTTCTAGACATTATTATTTCTGCACTTGTTGGAAATATTACTATTTCGTGTTTCCACGGGTCGATATACCTACAGCACAAAAACAAAGTATTTCTCATTCAACCAAATTAATTGTATCTAAATCTCACGAGATCCAACATGGGGGCATAAATACTCGAACGTGTTTGCCAAGCTTCAAAACTCTGGATCTCTTTATTGAGCAAATATTTTGCTTATATGATTGGGCTATACAATGTGTTTGATGTCATATACAAAACGAAGACTGAAAAATCACAACCACCACTGAGTCGAATCAGGTGGAAAAGCAGAGTAATTATGATTTTCTGTTGTAAGTATAATTAATTCCCGACGAACGAGGAACGTTCTGAACCAGTTTGTTCCGGTTCCAGAGCTATGGGGCAAATACGGGGCTACCTGAAATTGATTTTCATCATAACAATCGATGAATGTCAATGCAAAAAACTCTCATTTGTTATGTTATGATTTATGTACTGATATTATGTGGTCACAAGAACATAGTATTGTTGTTTAAATGTATAAAATAGGCTAAGCTGTCGTGCTTCCTTATTATTAAATTAATTTTTTCCGGTATTATCGATGAGAATTCGCCAAATTTCGGTGTGATCAAGGAAATGTAAATACTTAATGTTATAATTCAACCGGAATTTCAACGTTATAAGACTGATTTATCTTATTGCCAAGGTTCCAACACTGGATAACTAACTATAACTTTCATTTACCGTTTACTACATATACAGTTCCTGATATTTACAGATTTTTACCAAATATTTACCCAATATTCTACAGATATATACAATGCATACGTTTAGTTCCTCATTTTTTACCTAAAACAGAACTACAATAGTTGACATACTTCGGAAAGAGTGGATTGGACAAAGACTTGAATCAAAACATATTAAACATGTTTTTTCCTAGTGAGAAACTGATTTTTTCTGCATGATTTCCAACTGGAGTTTCTATGAAAATCATCAAGATATGCATGGAAATACAAAGAGATCAGATGGTGCATGGTAATCAACAACAACAAACAACAAAATCCTATTATTTATTCTCATTTCTCAAGTCAAAATTGAGTTCTAATAATATCATGAAGTTTATCAAGAATCGCCAAGCTCATAAAAGACTGGACGTAATATGATTTTTTATTTCCTTTCTGGACATCATATGTCATCATTACATCCAAAATCATCTTCTTTACTGAAAACCCACATTTTTATCAAATTAATAAGGTCTATCGAGATTCTCACTCGGACATTTTAAAGAAAAATTTTTTCAAACTTTCTTATATCTATATCATTATAAGCAGAAACGAGAACATTTCTGACTAATGTCTTTGAAAAAATGTCAGTAGGTAGCTATTATGACCTATTTGAAGTTTGAGAGATAAAAACTGACACACCTTGTATACAGCGTGTCTCACTTTAAACGGCCCCCTCTATATCTCAGTTATTAGTCATGCGATTCCAACAAAATTTGGTGTGGTAAGAATAACCATCAATATGATCAGTTTTACAGCGATGCACATTATTTTGGACAGTGCCGTGCGTTTTCATTGAACTAAAAAGGGGTCGATTCTTGATAAAATCTATTAGGCATTTTTTTACAGGAAATCTGACCTCATATTATTGTTCCTCATGCTTTCGAACCCCCATATGCAAAAAAATCACCTAATTCCGAATCACCAGGATTGGCTTAATTTTTTCATTTTCAGTCTCGAATCAATAGTGTCTTCAAATCAACTACGAATTTTGGAACGTTCAATGGCTCCGGTAGGTGGAAAATAATGATTTGGAACGAAAAAACACTTTTTTATGTTGAACCCACCGTTTTCGAGGATATAATTATTAAGTTCGCAAAAATGCTGTTTAGATGTGCCTGTTTTTCTGAAACCCTTTATAGGCATCTTATGAAAATTCATATATGTGGGTTTGAAACCAAGGAGTACAATATTATAAGGTCAGTTTTCCAGTGAAAAAATGCCTAATATGATTTAAAAAAAAACTGACCCCTATTCATTTCAATAAAAATGCACGGCACTGTCTAAAATGATGTTTGTCTCTGAAGAACTGGTCATATATTGATGATTATTCATACCGATACAAATTTGGTGGAGATCGCACGACTGATAGCTGAGATATAGAGGAGGGGTTGTTAGAAATGAGACACGCTGTATATTCTAGGGGGGTCTGTGGCCTAACATTTTTTTTCCATCTGAGAAGAATGTATTCCAGGACATAATAATTTATTTTGTCTCATAATGGTCTATACAATATAAAGAAAATCGTGTGGAAATGCTGGGATAAAACTAAAACGCTATGTAATTTTGATTCGAGTAAGTGTCCATTTCACATCTTGAACATCATGCAGTCCTAATTTTTTGAGCTGCAATACCTACTAATATTTTTATGAACAGTTTGTACAGTTTACAGATTTATATTCAACTACAATGTTTATTCCTATGGATATAATTATGATCTCATGAGATATCTGGTTTTCAGTATTTTTATAACAGTTAATACAATAGTTGCAGATAATACAGATTTTTTATAAATATTCAAATAG